TTTTACCAAACATTCAAAGAAAACTAACACCTATCCTCCTCAAGCTATTCCAAAAAGCCCAAGAGAAAGGAATACTTCCAAGCTCTTTTTATGAGGTCAGCATTAGCCTAATTCCAAAACCAGATAAAGACACTACAAAGAAAGAGAATTACAGACCAATATCCCTGATGAACATAGATGCTAAACTCCTAAACAAAATATTAGCAAATTGGATCCAGCAATATATTAAAAAGATCATACACCATGACCAAGTGGGATTTATTCCAGGGATGCAAGGCTGGTACAATACTCACAAATCAATAAATGTGATACATCACATAAACAAATTGAAAGACAAAAATCACATGATCATATTAATAGATGCAGAAAAAGCATGCCACAAAATCCAACACCCATTTTTGATAAAAACTTTCAGCAAAGTGGGAATAGAGGGATCATACCTCAACATAATAAAGGCCATATATGACAAACCTACAGCCAACATCATACTCAATGGGCAAAAACTAAAGGCATTTCCCCTAAGAACAGGAACAAGACAGGGGGTGTCCACTTTTACCACTCTTATTCAACATAGTACTGGAAGTCCTAGCCACAGCGATCAGACAAGAAGAAAACATAAAAGGCACCCCAATTGGAAATGAGGAAATAAAGCTATCATTTGCAGATGGCACGATATTGTACATAGGAAATCTGAAAGACTCCACCAAAAAACTACTAGATTTAATAAATGAATTCAGCAAGGTAGCAGATTACAAAATTAACACCCAGAAATTGATGCCATTTTTATATACCAATAATGTACTCTCAGAAACAGAAACTAAAAAAAATCCCATTTACCATTGCAACAAAAAAATTAAGATACTTAGGAATAAACTTTACCAAGGAGGTAAAATACCTATAGTCTGAAAACTGCAGGAAGTTGCAAAAAGAGATGGAGGAAGATATAAATGAGTGGAAGAATATACCATGTTCATGGATTAGAAGAATTAACATCATTAAAATGTCCATACTACCCAAAGCAATCTATAAATTCAATGCAATCCCTATTAAAATATCAACAGCATATTTCACAGATCTAGAACAAACACTTCAAAAATTTATATGGAACCAAAAAAGACCCCGAATAGCCACAGCAATCCTGAGAAAAACAAAGTTGTTGGGATCACAATACCAAATATCAAGTTATACTACAAAGTCACTGTAATCAAAACAGCCTTGTACTGGCAGAAGAACAAATATAAATCAGTGGAACAGAACAGAGAAGCCAGAAATCGACCCAACCCATTATGCTTAATTAATATTTGACAAAGGAGGCAAGAACATACAATGGAATAAACACAGTCTCTTCAATAAATGGTGTTGGGAAAATTGGACAGGTACATGCAAAAAATGAAACTAACCACCAACTTAAACCATACACAAAAATAAACTCAAAATGGATAGAAGACTTAAATGTAAGACGTGAAACCATAAAAATACTAGAAGAAAATGTAGGCAGCAAAATCTCAGACATCTCTCGTAGCAATATGTTTACCAATACATCTCTTAGGGCAAGAGAAACAAAGTAGAAAATAAACAAATGGAACTACATCAAAATAAAAAGCTTCTGCACAGCAAAAGAAACCATCAACAAAACGAAAAGGGAGCCCACTGTATGGGAGAACATATTTGCCAATGACACATCAGATAAAGGGTTAATATCCAAAATATATAAAGAATTCATAAAACTTAACAAAAGGAAGACAAAAAATCCAATTAAAAAATGGGCAAAGGACCTGAATAGACACTTCTCCAAAGAGAACATACAGATGGCCAAGAGACATATGAAAAAAATGTTCAGTCACTAATCATCAGAGAGATGCAAATTAAAATCACAATGAGGTATCACTTCACACCTCTCAGAGTGGCTACCATCAACAAATCAACAAACAAGTGCATGTGAGGATGTGGGGAAGAGGGAAACCTAGTACACTGCTGGTGGGAATGCAGACTGGTGCAGCCACTATAGAAAACAGTATGGAATTTCCTCAAAAAATTAAAAATTGAACTGCCATTTGACTCAGTGTTCCCACTTCTAGGGATATATCCTGAGAAACACGAAATACCAGTCAGAAAGAACTTGTGCACCCCTATGTTCATAGCATTGCTATTTATAATAGCTAAGATCTGGAAACAGCCCAAGAGACCATCAGTAGGTGAGTGGATAAAAAAGGTGTGGCACATTTCTACCATGGAATACTATGCAGCTGTAAAGAAGAAGGATCTCTCTTTCCCTTTGGGACAGCATGGATGGAACTGGAGAGTATTATGCTAAGCAAAATAAGCCAGTCAGAGAAAGACAAGTACCACATGCTCTCACTCATATGTGGAATATAATAAACAAAATAAACTGATGAACAAAATAGATCCAGAGACATAGAAGCTTGGAACAGACTGAGGGATCTCAGAGGGAAGGTGAGAGTGGGGGAGTGGGGGAGGAGAGATTAATCAAAGAACTTATATGCTTATATGCATAACCTGTGGACACATACATTGGTATGGGGAAGGCCTGGAGGTAGGGTGGATATGGGGTGGAGGGGATCAATGGAGGGAAAAGGGGGACATCTGTGTTAGTGTCAACAACAAAAATAAATTTAAAAAAAAGAATTCCTGAAAAATCAACTTTAAAAAAACAGGAAAATTAAATAGAACATTAAACAAAGGCTATGAACAGGCAATTTATAGGAGAGGAATTAAGAATGGCTATCAGGCATGTGGAGAGATGCCCATCTTGTTAATAACCAGAAAAATCCAATGTAAAATAGCAATATTACTTTACAGTTCTGTACCATCAGATTGACAAAAATTAGAAGGCTGAATAATTACAAGTGTTGACTAGGATGTAGGGAGATTGTTTATGTACTGGTGGTGTGTACACTGCAAAATAGAGAGCAACCTGACAGTAATATGGTCAATAATATGTATGTGCCCGATGATCCAGCAACCTCAGAGATGCTCTCTAGCGGGTCCACAACTAGATCTGCACAAGGATGTTCATTGCAGTATTATTTGTAGAGGCAGGAAGTTGGGGGCAACCTAGGTGTCCACTTAAAGAGTAGATAAGAAAAATGTGCCGGATGCACATACGGAATTCTATGCAGCAGGAAGAAGGGAGGGAAAGAAAGAGGTACAAGGGCATGCCCCACACTTTTTATTAAGACAGCAAAGTTTTCCCAGGAGCTTCACCCATCAGACTGCTGCTTGCATGTCTTTGGTCAAAACTGTGTTATACTGTCAGACTTAACTAAAAGGTAACTAAAGAGAAGGGAAGTTATAGGTAGGGATTGTGTATCTAATCAGCAATGACTAACACATAATCTAGTCGATTTCTTCCAACTGCTGCACAGAATTCCATAGTGGACATTCACATTTTATTTTGATGGCTAGAGGTACAGCAGCCATTTTGTGACTATGAGGAAAAGTCAAGAAATTCTCAGAGAAGGCCCTGACATCGTCGAGTTACATCAACACCAAAAGCCTCCGTGAATTCACCAAAATCCGTGAATTTTTTATCTTGTGTGAAGAATAAACCTTTATTTGTTTAAGTCACTTGTGTCAGTGAGGGTTCAATTGCAGACAACAGAAATAAATCTGGCTAGTTTAAACATAAAAGGATGGAGAAGCTGGCTCCAGGTCCAGGAACAACTCTCAGCTTTGAGAGGCATATGACCTCCGCCTGTGATCAGGAAACAACACTCACCATTACAGGAAGCTGATGAATCAGGAAGCTGCTCACCAGAGCTCCAGTGCATCTGTTGTGATCTGTTACAGCTAAACGGATGTCCCATGCTTTTTAGCTCTGTTCTAAATTTATGTCTTGCACAAGAGCAGAACCTAAATCACAGATTCCTGGCTCAAGAAAATCTGGGAAGTGTTTTGGCTTTCCAGCTCAGCAGCTTAGAAAAAAACACTAAAAGGAGTTTTAGATTAGTGTGGAGCAGCCAGCCTATGGCAGCAACCACACCACTGAGGTCAGCTCTGGATTACTTATGACCAGAGGCACTCCTGATACACTGCACAGAACGCAACAAGGATAGGTCTTGAAAACACAGCATTGAGTGAAAATAAATGTAACATAATTCTAAGGTGTTAGTTAAAACGTACACAGATCAACACTACATCTTTCATTGAAGTGTACATTTCAATAAATGCCAATTAGTAAAGAAAAGTAGGAGGGGAATGAGCTATGGGGATCAGGAATAAAAGAGATAAACTAAATAAAGTAAAATTAAGCAAGAGAGAGGTCTTGTCCAGTCTGATACTGGGAGTGGTATAATCACAGGGCTATGATTGGCTCAATTTGCTACACCTGAGGTCCAAAACCAATCCATTAACTTTAACATTAATATTAATTTAAAGGAATAACTCAGTATTAAATTAATAAATAATTATAAATAACTTAATTTGAATAAATTAATGTATCTTAATATGAATACAACTTAAATATTTCCTATTTAATTTACCACACCGAACTTATATTCCATTAAACTTAATATATCATAATTTCTGTACTCCTAAATTGGGCGATTCTTTATGTTTTAATTCCCCCAGAACCTCAAAATATAGGTCCAGGTGACTCCTGGAGCCCCCCCCC